TGTGCATTCAACATGACTTGTGATTCCGGACTTATCGCATGAACCGTCGCAGTAGTAGTAGTAGTAGTAGTAGTAGTTGTAGTAGTAGTAGTTGTAGTAGTAGTAGTAGTAGTAGTAACAGTAGTAACAGCAGCAGCAGCAGCAGCAGCAGCAGCAGCAGTACGTGCCACGAAAAAAACCATGAACATCACCATCATACTGAGTACTAACGGTAATGCACTACCATCACCATAATCATCAAATCAACAACAAGGGTGAAAGCCAAAATACCAATGCGGCAAAGTCTCTGCTATGTGTAGTACTAGCAACATTTATCATCATCATCATCATCATCGTCATCACCATCATCATAGTAACGGCCATTGCAAAACGAGCAACAACCATGGTCCTAATCGGAGTAGTATAGAAACGAAAACGACAAAGAATTGCCATTGTCACTCCTGCTGATATTGCTATCAACATGACAACACATGGCGATAGATATTTTTGTGACTACTATGAGACCCTCAACCCTAAACCCTGTATTATTCATTATTATAGTTATTATTGCTATTATTGTTATGATTACTAGTATTATTATTGTTATTATTATTACTATTACTATTATTATTATTATTGTTACTATTATTTTTATTCGATGATGCAAGGTCAAGTTGCCGCGACCATGGCAATGAGCCCCGGGAGGACAGAGCCACTGAGCAGCGCACTGGGCCTTTTTTGGGAGGGTTTTTCTAAAGGGGTTTATAGGGTTTATAGGGTTTCTAGGGTTTATATCTAGGGTTTATAGGGTTTATAGGGTTTATAGGGTTTTTCTAAAGGGGATAGGACTTCCGGGTTTAAGCTAATTTAGGGTTTTGGGTTTAGGGTTTCGGGCTTTGGCTTGAGGGGTTTAGGGTTTCGGGGATAGGATTTCGGGTTTAAGGTTGAGGGGTTTAGGGTTTCGGGGATAGGATTCCGGGTTTAAGGTTGAGGGTGTGGAGGAATGTGTTGAGGGCTTGGGCTTAGCGTGTGGGCTTTCAGGCTAGTTCGGGTCCAAGGCATTGGATGTCTGGGGAACAGCGTGGCGTGCACCACAACAGCAGCAAAGGTCGTACTGTCAGCATTTATCAACATACCAGGATTGCCCTCTGCATGATCCATATCAGTGTGGCTATTGCTGCATATTCTACCTATAGTCCTATAGTCCCCCTAAACCTGAACTTCGAACCTTACAAACTCCTTAACGCTGACTACAACCCTACCCATAGGCCCCTAAGTAGTTCCTTTTTGGGATTACCTTATAGGACTCAAAATATAAACCACGAACAGGAACTACTTAGGGGCCTGTGGGTAAACAAAAGTCCTCACTGGCTGCGGCGAGGGGCAGGCTAAAGATGCCCGCGCCGACAAGGTTCTTCGTGAGATTCATCCTTGGAACCACGGATCCGGGCAAAAGGGGTTTAGGGCTTTCTTTTTTCGGTGTTTAAGGCTGTCTTTTTGAGTTGGGGTTTAGGGTTTAGTGGCTTAGGTCTAAAGGTTTGAAGTACTCGGGTTTCGGGCAGCCTTGGGGGTTCGGGACGAAGGCTTCGTGGCTTGGGGTTCAGGGCTATGCGATGTAGGCTTGAGTGTATGCTCCGTGGCTTCCCACGGGCACCCTTGCGAGCTGCTCAAACACGACATAGCAGACAAAACACCCTGACGCAGAACAATAACATGGACTACAGAATGAACTTACAAAGACTTATAACGTGATACTTGCATACAGCTGACCCATGCAATACCATGCGTGTCTGCGTATGTATATATAAGTATAACAGTATAACACGTTACCCAACAGACTCCAAACAACCATGCAAAGTGGCCATGTAAAAAGGCTGGCAATCGAAGCCAATTCCAGTTGTTGATGATGTTCGCAATATTACTCCAATATTTTGTGGCATGTGGTTTAGTGACTATCGACTCCCTTCTCTTACTTTCATTGTAGAGGCCTTAATGATTAGAACAGGGCTTTAAGGTCCCGGGCAATTATACTATCGCGTAAATATTCGGGCCCCTCCATTGTGGCTTAACTTTACGGCTTGGTGCTGTAGTGCATCTCAGGCACCAAGCTGCTGCGATTGGGGGAGACTCGTCCTGCGCGGTCTTTCGTAAAGCAAGCAGTTTAGAGCTCAGGGGTTTTTCTGGGCTATGAGGTTTCAGTAGACGGGCTGTGGGTTTATTTTAGGGGGCTCCTTATTTTAATTATAGTACCATACACCCCAAAACCCTATTCTAATTGTGAAGGCCCCTACATCATGCGGACTTCGAGTCTAAGAGACAGCTGCGTGCCTTGTCGGCGTAGGGCTGGCCATCTGTGCGGGAAGACACCTTCCGGAAGCAACATGTGCTGCACTTGCAAAAGACACGGGATAAGCACGCCCGCGGAGGATTGGAAACGACGGCATAATTCATGAATTAGTGCCGACGTCGGTAAGCACGCGGCACTCTTCAAACTAGAGAAGATGCGTTTCGCCGGCCCTATCGTCCGATCTGTTGCGCTTAATGTCCACATGTGCAGCAAAACCTACGCGAAACTTGAAACTGCCAGGAAGATGCCCCATCGTGTGTCTGCGGTAATGCAGTCGCTTACGACGCAGCTGAAAGGTTTCCACGTGCCTTGCCCCTTGCTAGTCCCGACAAACGCGGGCGAAGCGGGCTCCCTTTCATGGGTTTAGGGTTCAGGGTTTAGGGGATGATGCTACACAAAAGAACATTGCTATAGAATAGCCCCGCTATTCAGAGGAGTTGGCAGGAACTGCCTACTAGGCCGAAACAGGAAAACTGAAGCGTAATACTGCTGTGATGCTGCACTGTGAACATGACGAAGTTTCTTACAAGGCCATCCTGGATTCGCCCTTTGATTCGAAGGCATGCAGGACCTGAGGGATGACAGCTCTGCTTCATGCAGAAATCCGATAACCGAACAACTAGCCGGAACGGTTCCCCCCCAAACCCGTCTCCCAAGGCCTTCATCGGGGCCACAGCGCCCCTCTTCACCCAAAGAAGATCTCTGGACATTTGCGGAATCTACTTGGGCGTCCGGGAGTCCGGGCGTCCTCTTCGCAGCTTGGCGGTCAAGCTTCAGCTCAAGTTCCCTCTGCAACGATGCAGCATACAAATGCATGTACACCTACAAACATTCGCATACATTATAAATATATACGTACTTATATATATATATATATGTATGTAGAATTGCTTATGTATATATATATATGTATATACATAGCTACTCGAGTCTTACGACTGGCACAAACGCCATGCAAGAGTTGCCAGAGGGAGCTCTACCATTGATGCCCGACCGGAAGATGCCAGAGCGATAGAGGAATGCCTTTGGAGAAAAGAATCCTGATCCAAAATGCCATCGATTGCGTGCGTCTGTGTGTGCTGCTTGGAATAGAGCAACAGCAAAGCCGGGGCAACACTACAACCATGCATCCCTTCCTGTTGACGGTGGGGTCATATACCATAACTTTCTACCATATACTGTAGTATACTATAATGTACTCCAAAGCATGAAAGTTCCCATGCCGAGGCTTTGAGAAGCAGTTGACGTTTACTGCTGGACTTGGGCCTACCGCGGGGGACCACCAGACCACCAGAAGGCTGTAGGCATGACCCGGGCAACCGTGCCCCTTTGATTGGGTTCTTGTCAAGGGATTTAATTTA